ACAACATTTTTCGTGATGAAGAAACAAAACAAAAAGCTTTAAACAAGTGTATGGAAACTGTCAATACTTGGTTGAATGAATATAATGAATAATTTGACGCCAATTTCACAAGTAAATCTTGGACCATGATCAAATATATTTTGTTTCATCGTATGTATGGAAGAGTAGAATACAGTAGGGCTTTTTCAGTTTTTTTAATACTCGAAAAACTTCTAAATTTCTCAATATTCTCTCATGGCCAATCACAATAATGATGCAGAAGATCTTGTAAAGATTCTAGTCGTATCTTCAGTGACTTCCGACGAGAAGAAGAGAACTTAGATAGATGGTGGAGAAACGACAGGTAACTATTTGAATCTTGTCTCACAAAGAGCCAATGCGATCAATTTTCCTAGGAGCAATATACTTCATGATGAAGAAACGAAAAAAAAAGTTTTAAACAAGTGTATTGTAGCTGCAAATACTTGGTTGGATGAGTACGATGACCAATTTAATGCCAAATTCACAAGTATAGTTTCTTTTAAAAATTTATGTATATATATCTATGTGGTTTTTCAAATAATTTTTTTTGTCACATGTGTCTTTTGTGTTTGTGCTCAGGAAGGAACATGATGAACAATATATACTTTCGGATTCCTAATTGACTGAGTTAGGTATTGGGATTACTAACTCCAAAGATACGAAAATAGTTACAATTTGGAATTTTGAAAATTGTCGTGTACCACGCGATGATTTATTTCCTCATATTTATAAGAATATTGAACGTTCCCTAAAAAGATTGGGCTATAACGGTTCGCTTGACATGATTGACATTGAGAATACGAAATTTTTCTTCAGTGAAGAACAACGAAACATCTTGGAAGAACTAGGCATCTCGCTTGTTGACGCTGTATAAAGTAATTTTAATTCATTTGACTCATGCTAGTTTCGTCTAGTAAATAAACATAGTTTAGCTTTGAGTTGAATTCTTGAAGCAACATCATGAGATTGTGAATATGAAGTGACACTAGTTCTTGTTTCACTTAGTTAAACCTATATGTTGTCTGGATGATTCCAAAAAATCCGGATGTTGAGAACACAACAGCTACAACTATGAAATAATCGTGGAGAGATACAATTGTCCAAATATTTTGATTTTGCTTATATTTATTATAGAGTTTTATTATTAGTTTGATGCAATAACCGTGGAGAGATACAAGCTGTTCCAGTCAGTTGTACCTCTAGTTTATATATTTGCGTATATTTCTTCAAACAGTTTCTGTATTTGGACAATTTTGCTTATGCATATTTAAAAAACAAACGAATCAATAGATGCCGCGGACAAATCATGGATGGAGATGTATTCAAGTATGCATCAAATCGAATGATCATTGGTCCTTTTGATCACCAGTGACATAGACTTCCGCGGTATCACCAATGATTTGGAAAAAAAAAATTGATGTTATGTTAACTCACAATGGCACAACACACAAGAATTTTAAAGAGATAGTACGTACGAACTTCTTATAGAAAACGTCTGATGAAGGAAAAATAATCTAAAACTAAGCTTCTTTTTTTGGATTCTTTGGTTTCGGAGTAATTTTCATTTTATGTTTTGTTGTTGTCATTTAATATTTTAAGGTTCTTTGTGTGTGTTGTTGTTTGCTTACTAGTTTGTTGAAAACTCGAAACTGCTTTGCATTTATTCTACTTTTAAATGTAATATGGATTAAGTATTTGTGTTTTTATTCTACTTTGATCCCTTTTAAAAATTAATTGGGAAATTGCTAATATAACAATTTAATATATATAAGTTATATATAACAGGAAAAACCAATTGGAAAACAAAATTCTGGGACATGTCCAAGTAAAAGATATGTGAAAATATAATCCTCATTCAATTATTTTTTTCAATTTTTTATGAAAACATATTTATTTTTTGTGTAGAGATATAATCGCGGAAACTATTTTTTCAAATATGAAATCAAGAAAAAAAATTTCAAGATTT